TTTGACCTTGAAATGCATAAAGTTATCCATTAAGCCTAGCATGAGCCTTCCCCTCAAGTGTATGACTCAATCCCAAGCTTAGATTTGTTATTTTAAGGCCTTAAAGACTTGCATGCACGTAAAGTTTGCAACTTTACATGAAAAGCATGCCTCAGGAGCCTAGATATGTAATTTGGAAGCATTGCATGGCTCCAAGGAGTCTGTATGACTCGAGATCTGATAGGACTCGGCGAGTCTCAGGGGGGGAGACTCGGTGAGTCATATGAAGACAGGCATGGACTCGGCAAGCCGGATGAAGATTGCCTACAACTCGACGAGTTAAAGGAACAACTCAGCGAGTCAAGTAAGACTCCCCAATTGATTCGATGGTCAAAAACGTGTCGAGTGGCAAGCAAGGAAACCCGACGAGTGGACCTTAGATTATCAGTCAAGACCACATGAACTCGGCGAGTCACCTCGATGACTCGGTGAGTAGTTGTTATCCAGTGAAACTCGGTGAGTCACTAGTTGCACTCGGCGAGTTAGGGTCAACATGGAGTGTTGACTTGATCCTAACTGAAGTGGACCTGGGCGGACTTTAAATTTAATGACTGGGTATTATATGACACTTTTAGGTAGTTGAGTTGGAGCAGTTCGTGGGGCATATCCATTCGAAATAGTATTAGTTTAACATTCGTTTCAGGTGAGTCTTCTCACCATACCTATGGGTCTAAGGCACCAAGGCAGACCCATTATGTGATTACGGTAGATGTGATAGATACTATGTGTTTGCTTTGCTATGTGATTGCATGTTTTATGAAGACCCCAAGGGGAGCCCGTGGCATTGGATGTAAGACCATGTGGGGTAGCCCATGGTAGTCCTAGGTGAAGACCATGTGGGGTAGCCCATGGCACTGGATGTAAGACCATGTGGGGTAGCCCATGGTAGTCCTAGGTAAAGACCATGTGGGTTAGCCCATGGCACTATTACAGGCTTTATGTATGCATAGTTTATGTGTGATGTATGTAGCCTTATGGCTATCAGGATATGTGATTGTGTGAGGTATGCTCTGGGAAACTCACTAAGTGTTTCGCTTACAGGTTGTTGACTGTTGCAGGTACCTCGGAACCTAAGGGCAAAGACAAGGCGTGATGGTGTGGCGTGTACTCTATCTCTCTTTTGGACGTTTTGGGGACTCTCTGATGATTTCATAAAATACAACAATGATGTAATAAATGTGATTTGGAAACAAATGTTTTGAAAACTTATGGAATATGTAATCGGATTACTCATTAAAACGAAAAAAATTCTTGTAAAATTTGGGATGTTACAAATTGGTATCTGAGCCTTGGTTTGAGAGATTCGGACACATCCTCAGATGTATCAGGACTCAAACTGAGGAAGTGGTAAACGTTTTCAAAAGTAACTTAAAAAGGATTTTTTTTTAAGCCCAAAAGAAGAGAGTACAATGCGCGTGATCAGCCGAGCCAAGTAAGTAGTTTCCCAATTCGAATAGCCATGTTATGCTGAAAATGAGCTCTGTTGATTATGTGAAATTGCTAGTGTATGTTAAAAAAATTATATACGGTTAGGAGTTGCAGCCTCAGAATGAGTGATTTTTCCTTATTTCCTTTTCCTTGTTCGGGATGTGGTTTTAGGGTAGAATCTCTTATTCAAAATTCTATTTGATCCTTTCTGTGTATAATTTGCATGCCTAATAGCAACCTGTAGTGATTGGTATGATTGTTGTGAGTAAGACAATCATAGGGTATTCAGGGATTGATTCTTGCGAGGACTGTGAGTCATAGTTTTTCGGTTATGATAGTTTTGGAGGTACTGGGTAAAGCAGGGGAAAGGTACGGGTAGGTGTGGAAGGTAGTACTGGGCCCATACTATTGGAAGCACAGGACCCGTACCCGAACCCATGTTCTATCTAGGAATTCTAAAGGAGCTTGGTATGGATACAATCTTGATGTGGGAATCCTGATCTTTATGTTTGTGTTACTATAGTTCAGTATGGTGGTTACGCGATTTGGAGCAGGGGGGTCAGGATCAAGATCGGGATCGGGATCAGGATCCGGGGGTGGGTCAGGCGGCCCTACCGATGGTATTGACCAGGGGCTGCGCGAGCTGATCACGGCCGAGGTTATGAGGGGCATCCTTAACGCTACCCCAGTCATCTTTGGGACGGTCAAGGAGGGCACGATGGAGATCATGGAGGAGAGACTTAGAGCATTCAGAGCCGATATTTCCGCGAGCCAGGGTGGAGCTCGAATTTCCTCATTTAGGGAGTTCAAGGCATATGGAGCTCCAGAGTTTTCAGGGGTCTGGGATCCCATTGTGAGTAGACGCTGGGTGGCAGACATTGAAAACGCTCAGCGTGCGAGTTCTTGCCCGGAGGAGGCAAAGGTCGGATTTGTTTCCTGTATACTGAGGGATAGGGACCGAGATTGGTGGGGCAAGGTTACTAGTCAGATGGGGACAGTCGGTGTGACTAGTATGACGTGAGCTGAGTTTGTTAGACGTTTTGATCAGGAGTTTGCACTGCCTATTGAGGTGCAACGAATGGTGAGAGAGTTTCATGATCTACAGCAGACTACTGAGAGTATGGCGGAAATTACCGCCAAGTTTTGAGAGCGAGCTTTGTTGATTCCTCAGTATTCGATCGATGAGGACATGAGGAGGACCCGATATCACTCTATGCTGAGGGAGGATATTCGGGAGTTTGTGAGTTTCACAGGGTGCAAAACCCTGAATGAGATGGTTGAGAAGGACCGTGAAAGGGAGATGGAGTTGGAGTCCCCCACGAAGTGGAAGACTGAGCAGGTACAGGTAGCGGGGACTCAGGCTAAAGAGCCTAAGACCTCTGATTCTTCGAGTAAGGGCCAGCAGGGCTGAGGTCGGTGTGCCAAGTGTGGTAGATTTCATAGTGGGGCTTGTCATACAGTCGGGATGTCAGGATGCTACTCCTATGGCCAACAGGGCCACTTGAGTAAGGATTGCCCCAAGAAGGGCTTGATATGTTTTCACTGCAACCAGACATGTCATAAAAAGGTCGATTGTCCGAGGTTGCAGGGTGGAGGAGGAGGATCTGTGGCTGCACCGTGCCCACCACTATGAGGATTACTGATGGCCGCCCCAAGGCGGAAGCTCCAGCGGTGAAGAGTCGTGCATTCCAGCTAACCACCGAGGAGGCTCGGGCCGCGCCAGATGTTATGGCTGGTATGTTTCCATTATCCTCTATTCTTTTAGTGTTAAATGTTGCATGTATGCTTATTGTGCTTTGTATAAGGACCTTTCTGGTCAATGGTATGACGGCCCATGTTTTATTGGATTCGGGGGCTACCCGATCTTTCATGTCTCTTGCACTTAGCAAGAAATTTTGGGACGCACCGGGGACTTTGGATGCCCCGCTTGAGGTGTAGATTGCAGATGATCGCACCGTGAGTGCTGCGAGGGTATATCAAGACTGTGTCTTGAATGTGCACGGTGAAAGGTTTCGTGTTGATTTGGTTCCCATACCCTTGCGAGGATTGAAAGTGATTATTGGGATGGATTGGCTGGGAGCCAATAGGGCCATGATCGATTTGTGAGCAGAAGTTAGTTTGAGTAATGGGGGAGAACTGGTTATTCACAGCGAGGGGACAACGCAAGGGCCTACCCTTTGTTCAGCTGCAAGGGCAAGGAGGTTTCTGCAGCAGGGTTGCATGGGATTTTTGGCCCATGTTTCAGATATGCGAGTGGAGGCAGTGGCGGATATCGATAGTGTACCAGTGGTGCGGCATTTTCGGGACGTTTTTCCCGAAGAATTACCTAGAGTACCTCAAAAGAGGCAGGTGGAGTTTCGTATTGACCTGGTACCAGGCGCCACCCATATAGCAAAGGCACCATATCAGTTGGCGCCACCCGAGATGCGAGAATTATCTGCCCAGCTTCAAGAGCTACTAGACCGAGGGTTCATCCGTCCAAGTAGTTCTCCATGGGGAGCTCCAATCCTTTTCGTGAAAAAGAAGGATGGGTCACACAGGATGTGCATCGATTATAAGGAGATGAATAATCTGACGGTGAAGAACCGTTATCCCTTGCCTAGGATTGACGATTTATTTGACCAGCTCCAGGGAGCATCATGGTTCTCCAAGATTGATCTTCGGTCAGGGTATCATCATATGAGGATTCAGGATGAGGACGTACCGAAGACAACTTTCAGGACTCATTATGGGCATTACGAGTTTGTGGTGATGCCATTTGGGCTCACTAATGCTCCGACCGCGTTCATGGACCTCATGAACCGGGTGTGCAGGCCGACGCTAGATCGGTCGGTGATTGTTTTTATTGACGACATCCTAGTCTATTCTAAAACCAGGGAACAACACGAGCAGCATCTGAAAGAGGTACTGGAGACCTTGAGATCGGAGAAGCTGTATGCAAAGTTCTCAAAATGCGAATTCTGGTTGAGGGAAGTGCAGTTTCTGGGTCATGTCATCAATCAGGAGCGTATTTTGGTTGACCCAGCAAAGGTAGAGGCGGTGATGCGATGGGGAGTACCGAGGAATGCCACTGAGATTCGTAGCTTTTTGGGCTTAGCGGGTTATTATAGGAGATTTATTCAGGATTTCTCCAAGACTGTCGTGCCATTGACCCGCTTAACCAGGAAGAATGTGACTTTCCGATGGGGTGAAGACCAGCAGAAGGCTTTTGAGACCCTGAGGCGGAGATTATGTGAGGCTCCGATTCTAGTCTTGCCTGAGGGATTGGATGACTTAGTAGTGTATTGTGATGCATCTATTTCAGGGTTGGGTGCAGTGCTGATGCAGAGAGGGCACGTGATCGCTTATGCCTCAAGACAGTTGAAGCCTCACGAGGCTAATTACCCCAGTCATGATCTGGAATTGGGGGTAGTGGTGTTTGCCCTCAAAATTTGGAGGCATTACTTGTATGGGGTGAAATTCATTGTGTATACCAATCACAAGAGTTTAAAGTATTTGATGGACCAGCAGAACCTAAATATGAGACATAGGAGATGGTTAGACATGCTAAAGGACTATAACTGCGAGAAACTATATCATCCGGGAAGGCCAATATGGTGGC